TCTATCTATCTATCTATCTATCTATCTACTTATCTATCATCTATCTATCTATTTATATCTATCTATCTATCTATCTATCTATCTATCTATCTATCATCTATCTACTCACTCATCTACCCATCCATAGGTGTTCCTGCATCCATCCATCCATCCATCCATCCATCCATCCATCCATCCATCCACCCATCCATCTATCCATTTCCATCCATTCACCCACCCATTGACCCACACATCCATTCACCCATCTATCCACACATCCACCCAACCACTCTCTCCTCACATTTCCTTTTTTTTCCACAGATTCATTCCATCCACACTTACTCCCCCTCACTCAACCTCCCATCCACCCTTGCATCATTGTCAGAGGCTTCCTCTGAGGAAGGAGGAGATTCTCACCTGGGTCCCTCAGCAGAATGAATTCGCTTTCCTCAAACATACTGTCCACCCTCCACACACTCAGAACCTCGAGTCCCCAAGTTTGGGTGGATCTTCCGGGTTCTTCAGCTAGCAAGCTTTGTGACCCGGGGGCCTCTAGAATAAACCAGGCCTGGCTTCTGGTTCCCATGGCAACCTGCTGTGTGTCCCCACACAGGTTCATCACTTCTCTAAACTCCAAATCCTTCACCTATATAGTGAAGCATATAAGTTTCCACACATTCGGGGCATCCTGGATGTCTGGTAAAGGCTGGCTGTTACCTCTCTAGACAGATAGTGTGAGTCCAAGTCCGAATCAGTGGAGGAAAGGGACCAACCAGGACCTTCCTTGAACCCATGGAAGATTCCGAAGTTTCTTTCCTCCGATGTATTGGGTTCCTGGGTCTAGAGACTTGGAAGGTGGTAGGGTACCTCCCCATGACAGATACATTCTTTTTTTTTTCTAGAGCTGAGGACCAAACCCAGGGCCTTGGGCTTGCTAGGCAAGCACTCTACCACTGAGCTAAATCCCCAGCCCCGACAGATACAGTCTAGATCAATCCCGAGGCTTCCCTGGCAGGCTCTGGCTTCACCCTCTTCTACCCACACCCACAGGTGATGCTCACGGTCCCTCATCATCATTCTTCTCTGATTCTCAGTGTTTTTAGCACCAACACTCCCAGAGATGGACTAGCACAGGGATCTTCAATGGGGACCCCAGACCGATCTCATCCAAACCAGACCAGGAGAGCGAAGAACTGGAGAGGTACAGAGCTGGGGCAGAGCCCCTCTGCCTTCCTGGCTTCCAGTCACCCTGAGCCCTGAGGGTGCTCCAGAGCCACCTTGGCTGTTCAGGGCCTTTGCACAAGTTGTCTCATTCCTGAGAGCCCTTCCTCCCCCAAGAGAGGGAGGGGAAGAGGAGATGGAGAGAACATGAAGAGGGTTTTCATTTACAGCGTGAGCCTGTCTTTATAGGAGTCTCCTGCACTGTTTGAATGGGCTGTTTGTGTGCCTGAGGCCCACAGTTGAGGGTCAATAGTCATGCCTTGGCTGTGATGAGGGCCTGGCTTGGAAGCCCAGCCCTGGCCTGTAGCTCAGAGAAACCCAGCTTCCTGAGCCTGAGCCTAAGGGTGGAACACCTCCAGAGCACTGGCTGGAGAGACCTACTCAGAGGCCCTTTCTCAGCAGAGGCAGGCTAGATGGAGGAGAAGAGCAACAGACCAGAAACAGACAAGGAGCCCCAAATCCCATCAGCAGGTGACTTAATGGCCGGCCCTGACCTTGGCGTTGACCTCAAGATGCTGCAGCCAGCCTTGGATGTGCGTAAGAAGGTCTCCACACCCAGCTGTGGCTGGCTGCCGCGGTGGGGCCGGGTCACCCGAGGCCAGGCTTGCGTCATCTCAGATTCCTTCCCTTCCCCACATGGCTTCCTCTTGGCTGCTTTGCTCCATGCCGTCGTCGTCCGTCCGTCCGTCAGCACCAGCCTGCCTGGGAATGGGTCCTATTCTAGCCACCGATGGAGCTCAGGGACTCAACCAGGGTGTGACAGAGCAGGTGGCTGGCCTGGGAGCCAGTGAGACACCGCATTGCGCACAGCAAAGGTCCAGATTCCAGGAGAGGCACGTTATCCAGAGACTGAACCCTGTCAGGACACAGGAGTCAGGACAGCTGGCCCAAGGCAACTCCAGCAGAGAAACCCAGCCCTGCTCAAGACAGCCACAGGAAGTGACTGAGCCCAGGGCCTAGGCCAAGAGCCCTGGCAGGCCAGCTCTGCATCCTGGGGAGTCTCTGGGCTCCTTGGGTTACAGGAGCTGTTGTCATGGTTACTGGTAGTAATAAGGTCTAGCAAGTAGAAACACATGACACCCAGTTACAGTTGAGCGTCAGATCGTCCATCGGGGTAAGTCTACCCCAGGCAGGGCTTGGGAGATACTTATCCTAAAGGTCCTGCTTTGTTTCTCTGGACTTCCCATGGACCAGGGCCTCCCATGTTTGATCCATCAAGCTATGGCCTCATTATTGTGGGAAAAACTCCCTTGAACAGAGGCGTCCCCTCCTTCATGGTGTGCGGAGTCCACAGGTGAGAGGAACTCGGAGACCGTTTCTACTAACCTGGGTGTTAGTTATCAAATATGGGTGTCAGCAACGCCTGCGATGTCGATATTAATTAATAACCATTGATACCAGTGTTAGCGCCCGTTTGCAGAGTGTTAGCTCTGCTCCAGACGGCCCTGTGCTCCACTCTGTCACATCGCCACTCAGTGCTCTGGTGCACTAGGATGGCATCCCGTCCTTGCTAGCGCGGCCGTTCACAGTGTTCAAAATAAAAGCTACAAAACTGTGGCCCTGACCGCTCACAGCGGGGCACTATGCGGAGTGGCTTGCGAGGATCACCTCAAAGCGGTGTGTCACCTGTTCCGTACACAGAAATTATTTTTAGGTCGTGGCAACATCTCCATTTCGAAAATAGGAAAATTGAGACCCAGGCTCAGAGGCTCGGATCCGCAGGAAGCAGCTGGCTTCTGCCCTGATCTTCACATCGCGCCTGGCCTTCTCCATCAGCCACATGGTGCCATCCGGGTGAGGTGGGTCCAGGCTAGACAAGCAGCTGCACTGACCACCCCCCAGCTATGGCTCATGGATCCCCACTTCCCCCGAGAACAAAGCTATCTCCAAGTCTGTTTCTGAAGGGACCTGGGACAGATGGGCCCCAGAGCTGAGGGCTGGTGCCCGGGAGAGCACCTCCAGGGAGCACCTCCAGGGAGCACCCCCAGGGAGCACCCCCCAGGGAGCACCTCCAGGGCGGTGGTGGTCAGACATAACAGTTACTTTTTTTCATCGCTGTAACAAAATGCCTGACGAAAGCGAGTTACTGGAGAAGAAGGTTTGTTCTGCCCCAGGCTGTCGGGACAGACAAGGCAGGAGACGTTGCACCACGTCACATCCACAGTCTGGAGGGAGAGAGACAGAGACAGAGAGACAGAGAGAGAGACGAACGCTGGTGCTCAGTTCAGTTTCTCAGTTTCATCCAGCCCCGGAGTCCAGCCCAGGGATGGTGTCCCTCACAGTTAGGGTGAGTCTCCCACCTCAGTTAACCTAACCTGGAAACTCCTTCACAGACATGCCCAGAGGGCTGTCTCCTACATGATGCCAGAGTCTGTCCGTTTGACGACATTGGCATTTCAACCAACAGAGAAACTCTCCAGGGCTCCGTGACTGAGAGCACATTCCCCAGCCTCTTGGCCCCATGTCTCGGGCCTGGAGAACAGGAGCAGTAACAGTCAGTGTGAGCAGCTGGGGTCACTGTCAGGACACAGCGGCAGAGAGAGAGCCAGTGTGGGTGGCTTCCTCTAGAGATGAATGTGGGAGGTCCTCCAAGGAAGTGGGCAGTGGGAGATGAAGACCTGGCCCCTATGTTCAGAAGCAGGTGACTGTGGGCCTGCTGGGGTCCCTGGGGAGCAGATCAGAATCCACAGTGGACTGTTCTCAGCCAGGTCCTTGGTGCCAGGTGATCATTCCCTGTTCCGCTGTCTCCTCCTGAAATGAGGGCACAGATTTGGTGTGTCTGACTCTGAGAGCCAGGGGGAGATCTGGCCAAAGAGGGGCAGCCAAGTGGTAGGATCCGGGGAGTCGAGTAGGCCCAGGTACAATCCAATCGCAGTGACACACATCTCTAGAAAATCCCCCTCAAGTTGAAAAGCACCCTTCTCTTAAAACACTAACGACGACAGCAGCAGCATCTGGGCATCATCAGTAATAAATGGCAACCCAGGTTGAAAACCAAGGGACTCAGAGCTCAGGGATTCCAAGAACAGTGCTATCTTGGGGTGCTCAGCTGCCCAGAGAAGTACCCCAAGTGTCCCCATGCTCCCGGGAGAACCTGGGGAAGCTCTCGGGGTTCTGAGTGAAGTGGGTGTTGCTTGTCCTCCAGCCTGCAATCCTGCGGAGGGCACCGACTTCAGAGGCCCCGTGCCCACAAAACATCCCCCCGAGCTTCTGCGACAGACAAGCCCCTGGCTCTGATTTAGCACCACCCTAAACTGAGAAGGAGGAATGTGGAGGGAGAGGCCAGTGGGCCGGACAAACACATCCTTGTTAAATGGCTGGGCCAACAGTGTATCTATCACCCACGGGAAGAGAGAGAACGGCTGTAGATAACTGTTGAGGGACCTGCCTGGCTCGTCTGGGGTTTTATCTGACTTGTCTCTCTGTGTCCCCAACTTAGCCACTAAACGGTACCTGTGATTCTTCTTGGGTCTATTTTTAAGATGAGAGAGTGAAGTCTCAGAAAAGGACAGCAACTTGCCCAGGGCCACATAACAAGGGATCATCAGCAAAGTTAGGGTGAAGGACAGAGATCGGCTGCCAGCGACAGCACATCACGCAGGCCTTGGGACCCACGGAGGGTGGAGGACTCACTTCCCCAGCTCTCCAATCCTTAGTAGCTAAGTGGCTTCATCTGAGTACTGTCGGCTCTCTGGACTTGGTTCCTTCATCTGTAAGACGGAGGCAGGCAGAGTCCTTGTTTACTGGCATTAGATGAAGGATGGTCTGGGAGCTCCTGGTGTGAGCAGTCACTTTGGGACACTCCTAATCTGCAGGGGGCAGAAAGTAAAGGGCCCCCAGACAGGGGCAGCCAGATGAGCCGTCTGCAGAGATCCATGCCTTCCTCTCCAACTGCCTCAGGCCTCAGTGGGACTCAGTGGTAGGGCCTGGCAAGCACAGGGACCCGGGTTCCGTGCCCAGCACTGCAAAACGTAATAAATATAAAATCCACCCCTTAGTGATGTCCTTCCTCCACAGCTGCCGGGAAGAGATCTCAAGGGTCCCTAAGGTGGTAGTGACAGTGTTCATCTGGGCTGCTCTCGTGTGTGGCATGCAGTGAGCCTGCCATGGCTGGCACAGTCCTTTGGGGCTAGCCAACCACAGCTGGTATGTGCAGCCTGGTGGCCTGGCCATCTTCCTGTCAGGTAGGTAGAGTCGGGAGAGACAGGGTTTCTTCCAGAGCCCAGGACGGGGGTCAGAGCCGTCCTCCAGAGCCTGTGGCCCTCTGCCACAACTGAGCTAAGTCTGTGGGGTCACACCACCTCAAGGCCCCTTCGGGTCCCCATGCGATGGAACTGGAGACATGCTGACTGCCTTGTAGGGTGTCAGTCTCCGTGGCCACCGGATCTGTGGGCTTCCGCCTCCCTGGAGTCCCAGCCAAACACACTGTTGCTGTGTCTGTGACAGCCTATCTCGAGAACACACCATGGGGAGGCCATTTGTTTTGTTGTGGTTGCTGCCATACAGGGACTTGAACCCGGGGCCTCAGCGTGCTCTGTCACAGTGATGATGCTAGCTCCATCGCAGAGATCCTCCTGCCTCTGCCTCCCACGTGCTGGGATTAAAGGCATGCGACACCACCGCCCAGCCTATTTTGCTTTTTTGTTTGTGTTTGTTTGTTTTTCTTTTGCTTTTGAGACAGAGGTTGACTAAGTTGCCCAGGCTGGATTTGAACTCATTCTGTAGCCCAAGCAGGCCTTGAGCTTATTTCTCCTACCTTAGCTTCTTGAGTAGCTGGGATGTCTGGCCTACAGCACCAGGCTTAATTCATCTGTGAGAAAAAGGAGAGGGATGGGGTTAACAGAGGGGGGGAGCTAAAAGGGTGTGGCTCCCTCTGGCCTCTGGACTGAGTTACCTCACAGTCAGGGCTGTGGGTACACGGAGCTCTCAGGCGAGGCTTTTGGCAACAGGCGAACTGGGTTTCTAAAGATTATTATTTTAGCAAACCCAGCTTGGATGTGTCCTCCAGAGTCGGCAGGAGGCTCCGCAGCGCTCTCCAAGAAAGTGCTCTTCGGCGGGAGTTCTTATTTCAGTCAGGCCCAGGGAGGGGTTCCGCTCAGCTTGTGTTTCTGGAAAAACATGCCTTTGGGAAGAGCTGGGGTGTGGAGGGAGAGCTTGGGGGGGGGGTCTGGGGAGGATAAGATGGGGGTTGCTGCAGGGCCAGGGCCTCGGGCCTGCTGTCTCTTCTTGGGGACCCTAGAAGGAAGGCAGCCTGGAGATCCTGAGCAACAGGTCTCCAGAGCAGAGGGGTGGCAGGAGCGTGGCCTGGCTGGGTGGTTCACCGTGATTGGCTATCACCTGGAGGTCACTGGCCCACTGACTGCCTCAGTTTCCTCCACTGGAATAAAGAGCCTTGAAAGTTTCTGTGTGATCTGGCCCTTGCTCTTCCTTCTAACCTCGCCCCTGGCCACTCCCTCCTCAGATCCCCAGGGAAGCACTCACCTGCAGCCCCAGGCTCCTCCTCCTGTCTGGGAGCACCCTCCTCTGTCTCTTCCTCTGGGTATCCTAAATAGTACCTGCCCTGACCTCCAGCATGAGTCAGAGGCCCCCCCTGTCATACCCACCACACCCCCACACCCCGCTGCATGCCCTTCTGCTGTTCTCCATTCCTCCGGCTGGAGTGTCCTAGGAGGACAATCTGTGTCCCTCCTCAACTCTGAAGTCACCACCTTGCTCCTTGCGGTTCTCAGCAGGGCACAGGGACAACTTCCCCAGGGCAGCTTGCAGATGTGTGCCTCTCAGCCCAGGGCAGAGCCCAGGACAACAGGCAGACAGACAAACAGACAGATGGGAGGCTCCAGCTTCTTGTCATAGTCAAGTGGAGCATCACGGCCCGATCCTGCCGCCGCCTTCGGTGTTGGGTAACCGCACGCTCCACAGAGCTGCCTTCAGAGGATGGAAACTGCACTCTGTGCTCCCGAGTGCGGCTTCTTTCTAGGCACACCCAGGATCTCTGGGCTTGAGATCTTTCAAAAATAACTCCTGTAGGATCCTGGAGGGACGCTCTTGCTTCTCCGCATCTCGTGGGCTTCCTGGGGGACCCACCATTCCTTCCAGCCCAGAGCCACATCGTTGTCCACACATCACAAGTCTGGGTGAATGTCGAGTGTCTCTGTCTTTGGAGTCTCGAGCCCCAGACTTAGTTTTATGGGCTTTGGCTGTCGAGGGCAGCCGACGACTCCATCCATCAACCCAGGACCGCTCCAACACTAATGCTGAATTTATAGAAGTGGTTAAACAAAGTGTTGACAATATGGACGATGTGTTTCTGATTAACACACGATTCCGAGTGAAGCTGCCATCTGTGGGGGAGGGGGGAGGGGGGTCAGTAAAACACAGCCGTGAATTCCCAGGCTCTGGCGGCTCTGACTAGGCTGGATTACCAGAGGTTGCGCAAGAAGCTCCTGAGCCTGCTGCCGCTGCTGGGAAGGCTCACACACAAACCCGGAGCCATCCCGTCCCTTCCCCTCTCCCTGTTTTCTTGAGAGATTAAATCTGAGTTCTTTTCCAGCTTGAAGCATTTCTATCAGGAAATTCTGTCAGCTCCACCAATGTTCCCTCCAAATGCCTGCCCTCAGCCTGACCCCTCTCCCAAGGTGACCTGAACATGGCGGGAGAGGCACTTAGCTGCTTTCTGGGCACGGCTGGTTTCTTTCTTGAATCATTTCATGTCTCATCAAGAGAAGAGGTGGGGGGCATTTGCATTCTAACGAGACTCTTGTTCTGAAATAGTGTGACTCTCACGAGAAGTTGCAGATCTGGACCAGAGTGCCCCCCTATCTCAGTTTCCCCTTATCCCAGCTCCCCCTTCCCCCAACGGCCCCTGCCCTCCAGCAGCATTAAACTCCATAGCCACAGCACATTGTTAGAGCTAGGGAATCACCTTTGGTTCCACACTGGGCCCCTAAGGCACAGTTGATGGTTTGTGTTCTTTAAATTGCTCTCTAAGATTTTAGCCTGTGTTCATATAGGGCCGCCTGGGAAGAGAGGGTCTCCCATTCTCGCACGGAAAGCCTCTTGGGTTACCCCTGTGACGCTCTCTGTGGGAGTGTCGCAGACATGAAGCTGAATGGAAATGTAAGCTTCAAGATCGACCTCCGATTACTTTTTCAGACAGAATTGCTATGTAGCCCAGGTTGGCCCTAAACTCCTGATCTTCCTGCCTCAGCCTCCAGAACGCTGAGATCACAGGTGTGTGCTCCCACACCAGGCTCTATAACCGACCTTTGTTTCCTCAGCATTGTCCCTTTTCATGGGTGGATAGTATTCCAGTGTATGGACATACCACAGTCTGCCCATTCACTGGCTGAAGAACACCAGCTATAGAGCACTGGCTGTTGAGAGTCTTACGAGTAAAGTGTTAATGAATATTCATAGGCAGGATTTCCTGCCCATCTGCAGTTAACAGATCAGAGGTAGAAGAGGTGACAGGTCATAAAGTAACTCACCTGGCAGCTGAGTCAAGAACTGAACACAGGTACAAACTCTAGAGTCCATGTCTGCCCAGCTGTGTCTAAGATGGAAAACCTTGTGGCTAAAACAACCCTAAAGCCTCCTGGGCCCAAGCAGAAGATGCGGTGTTTATCTGAGATCTGATACCCCTGTGTGTGCTGATATTGTGTTCCCCGAAATATTGTGCATGCTAATAAACTTATCTGGGGTCAGAGAACAGAACAGTCACAATATTAAACATAGAGGTTAGGCAGTGGTAGCACACGCCTTTAATCCTAGCCTTCTGGAGGCAGAGATCCCTCTGGATCTTTGTGAGTTCAAGGCCACACTGGAAACAGCCAGGCATGGTGACTCATGCCTTTAATCCCAGGAAATGATGGCAGGAGGCAGAAAGGTATATAAGGCATGAGGACCAGGAACTAGGGCAGGTTACGCTTTTAGACTTTTGAGCAGCAGTGCAGCAGAGACCCATTTGGATGAGGACTCAGAGGCTTCCAGTCTGAGGATACAAGATCAGCTGAGGAATTGGCGAAGTGAGGTGGCTGTGGCTTGTTCTGCTTCTCTGATCTTCCAGCATTCACCCCAATACCTGGCTCCAGATTTGATTTTATTAATAAGACCATTTAAGATTCATGCTACACCTGTGGGAGCATGCCATGTCTCTAGAGGAACCGGAGGACCCTCAAGAACCAGAAAACCTACCGTGGAGACTGGGCCCGGCTCGGTGGGACTTTCTTTCCTGGTATAGCCTGCATGTCCCTGACACTCCCATGCCCTTCTGCTGTGGCATCTCCCTCTTGGCCTTTGTCACGGCGTCCCTCCAGGGAGCACCACCATCCCACTCTGCCCACTGTACTCTTGTCTTGTAGCACGCATCTCCTCACCACGGCATTTTACCCCCCTCTCTCCCCACTCACGTCCCCGACTCTGAAAAACATATCTGCCGAGTAAACAGGCATCTATTTGTTGAGCCAAGCGCTGTGAGGACTCAGGAACTACAAGGTCCTGTGCTGAGGCCTGAGAAACAGAAAAACCAACAACCCCTGTGCCAGCCTTCAAGCAGCTCAGCCTGCGGGTGCCGGATTTGGGATTGGAGTTGGTTTGAGTCCTGTGTGTGCACCGATCTGGAATCTGAAGGGTCTCCCTGGTCTCAGCCCAGCCTCCTTCACAGAGGCTCATTGGAGGGGTTCGGGGTGGCTAGACATGCGTGTGTGCATTCTTCATGGCTCTGCACTCTGCTGGGGTGATGGGATCCAAGTCCCCAGAGCCAGTGACCCACCTCAGCTGCACCCCCCAGCATGTCACAGGGCTAAAGATGGAGAGCAGGTACAGAGGCCGAACAGGCACCAGCTTTAGTGGTCAGGCTCCTCTCTCGCCACCCTCCACCTGTAGCCCAGCTCCCCGGGGCCTGCAGCTCATTCTGGACTTCATTTCCGCCCTCCCTGGCCTCCCGTGCCCCGTAAAACTCAATCTCCTCCTGTTTTCAGTTCAATTAAGGGACTGTAATTCCACCCAGAGGGCCACACACTGCAAGTGTGAGCGATGTGGGGACGGGGCTGGAGGGAGGGTGGGAGATGACCCCAGAGGGCTACCAGGGAGGGAGAGAGGAGAGTGTCTGTGAAAGTGAGACTTCTGGATCACCGTGGCACCCACTCCTGGTCCAAGGGAAGTCTCCCTTACCCTCAGCTTCCCCGTCTACGAAGAGCCCAGTGATCGATCACCATTGTGGATCATGATCTTCCATTCATCCAGACTCCAGCACTGTCGTTTAAAAGCTAACTTGGTTACAAGCTGGCTAAGGCTGCACAGTGAGACCTTGTCTAAAAAAAAAGACTAATTTAATGATGGATTAAAACTCCACCACCTGTGGACCCAGCCAGGAAGGCTGCCTGCAGGAATTTCTCCTCTGGAATGTTTATGCAGCTGCAAAGACGTCCCTTCAAGGATGTCCACTGCAGGGGAGGGACGTAGCCATTGCACTGCAGACTTGCCTCAGAACACCTTTCCATCGTAAGGCAGAAGTCAGACCTGGTGACAAGCTTGGAACCCGACACTTAGGTGACGCAGAGATAGGAGAGTCGGAAGTTCAGGGTCAACCTCAGCTACACAGGACCTTGGGGCCAGCATGGGCTACATGGGACCTTGTCTCAAAAGTCTCATATTAGCAACAATAATATAATGACTAATGACAGAGGCAGGTCTACACCCACAAGACAAGCGGGAGCCATTCTTAAAGAAAAGTCACGCCTCCCTGGTAGCCCTGAGGGATGGGTTCCAGGACCCCAAAATCCCCCATCTCTATGCTAGACATCAAGCCCCTTGTATCCAAGAGTGCCATAGCATCAGCATAGACCACATCAGCATAGACCACCTGCACATCTTAAATCACATGTTGGGGCTTCCCTGCCTGATGCAACAGAAATGCCACGAGGCTATCATCAGGCTGTGATGTTTAGGAAAGAGGACCAAAAACAAGCCCGTACCTGTTCAGAAGAAATACCGGTGTGTGTGTGTGTGTGTGTGTGT